TGTGAGGTGCATGTCACGAACTGGTCTCAGTTGCTACCTAAGCACACGCACATACCTAACTTGGAGAGACAACCCCTTCTCATCCAATTATCCTCTTTTAAAACATTCACATTAACCCACAGTACACGACGTGGTAGCGACATCATCCCCCCCACCACGCACCTTGGAAGAGGACGAAGGAAAAAAAAAAGTGAGAGACGCGGTACGTCTGCAGCAGCCAGCCAGCAAACTGCAGTCAGCAGCAACACCGCCGCCATCAACGTGCAACGACCAAAGCACACAACCTTGAACCGTCAAGTCGAGCCAAGCACCAAACCCGCTGACGCCTGACGCCTCACCGTAAGGTACCGTCATCTGAATGTGCCTTACCTAACACAGCGAACACTCACCTTTTTTTTTTCCTTACCAGAAAAAAAGAAGCGGTAACCTCTGCTGTCATTTAGAGCTTTCGCAGCATCCTCCGCGACCGAGACAATCGCACCCTTGCGCCGAAACCCAAGCCCGACCTATCGCGACAAGGGCTTCTTTGCCGGCCCATAGTTGGAATTGTTGTTGTCGGCTTTTTTCTTCTTTCCTCTCTCACACAATAGACTTCCTTTGCGAAAGCTTCTCCAACAGCTTTTGGCGATTGACTCAGGCTTCCCCCTCCTCCAGCCTGCCCTTTCAGCACTTTGGACATAGAGAGAGAGGTCCCCCCCAGGCATCACGACCCAACGACCGACCCCGAACGTATATAGAACCACGAGATCCGTATCCTCATTTCACCATCCTTCTTTCAGTCACCGTGCTTTTCCACGCCCGACGACTTTTCGGCTTCTCACAGACCGTGGGATTTTTTTGCGCATGCGACAGGCGATTATCCGATTAGTCTGTACTATCCCGACCGATCCATCCGCCGCCGCCGCCGCTGCCGCTGCTCTTCGCTTCTCGACACCGTCGTGAAAAAGCAAAACGAGGAGGTGGTTTTTTCCTGGCTTGCTCTCGGCGACTACTGGTACACAGGCTGCCTACAGCTTTCAACCCGCAACCCACCAAACGCGGCCGCCGCGAAAAGATTCAAACGACCCTCACCGAAGCAGGCGACCCCCGCGTCAGCCTATCACGTCCGCCTCAAAGGCGCCGCATCAGCCGGCGACCTGGCCGATTGAATTCTCCCAACGGGCCACACAACTCGTCTTCACCCGAACCAACAAACCCCCCAACGAAGGCGCATGCACATTCCCATGTCTTCGAACCCTCGAAAGCGACCAGCGCCAGGAACGATACCCACCATGCCGATGCCACAGGTCCAACAGTCATTTCCCAGTCCGACCGGCGATCAGTTCTTGCGATGGGGAGGGGCAGCGGACGCTGCTACGGGCCTTATGGACGGAACAGGGGCCCAGGCCGTCAACTCGTACGGCCTCGTCCCCGGTCAGCAGCAGCAACAGCAGCAGCAGACGCCGCAGCAATTCGTGCAGCCCACACCAAGCCCCAACAATGCCGTCGCGCGGAGGCAGATGAACAGAGCACTCGTCCCGACAGGTGCGAGGCAAAACTTCGACTCGTCCAGCGACCCTTGGTCCTTTGTCGGTGAAGACTCTGCGCTCCTGCAGCAGCAACAAGCAAACGGAAACATGGCCGAGACCGACAACGTCGAAGTCCTGGAGGAGATGGCTCGCAAAGCCATGAGGGAGGCGCAGCAGAAGCGGAAGCAGATTCCACCGTTTGTGCAGAAGTTGAGCAGGTAAGCTAGGTTCCCGTACCTCCAAAGTGACGAGAAGGCGTATTTTGTTGGAAGTAGGTTTTTTTTGTACCCATACTAATGATACACAGTTTCCTCGACGACGATAAGAATTCTGAGCTCATTCGGTGGTCGGAGAAGGGCGACTCATTCATCGTCCTCGACGAGGATGAATTCGCGAAGAAGCTAATTCCCGACCTGTTCAAGCACAACAACTATGCTTCCTTTGTACGACAGCTCAACATGTACGGCTTCCATAAGCGGGTCGGCTTGTCGGATAACTCGATGCGTGCAAGCGAACGGAAGAACAAGAGCCCAAGCGAGTACTCGAATCCCTTCTTCCGACGAGGGCACCCGAACCTGCTCTGGCTCATTAACAAACCAAAGAGCGGTAACAAGGGCAAAAAGGGCGCCAAGAATGCAGAAGTCGAGGGTGACAGCGAGGAGGATGCCGTCAACATTGACGACGGCGTGACACAGGGCTTTAGTACCGCCAGTGCACCCGCCAGCAAAGCTCTGCCGCCCTCGGGCGACATGCCGATACAGAAGAAGGAGATGACGTTGATTCGGGAAGAGTTGGCCAAGGTGCGCGAGCAGCAGAGGATGATCATGACGGCGATCCAGCGGATCCAGCAAGACAACACGGCGTTGTATCAGCAGGCTGTCGTCTTCCAGAGCCAGCACGACCGTCATCAAAACTCCATCAACGCCATCCTGAACTTCTTGGCCAACGTGTTTAGAAAGACACTCGAGGACCAAGCGGGCCCTCAGAGCGTAAACGACCTTCTCGCGAGCATCATCCCGAACGGCAACAGCTCCAGCTCGGTACCTCAGGGAAGCGTCGTGGATCTAGGCGACTACGTGCAAGCACAAACCTCGGCAGGAAACAACATCAATATCCCAAAACGCCGGCAAGCGTTGCTGCCGCCCATTCCCAACGGTCGTGCGAATACGGTATCGCCGTCACCAGCTAGCGGCTCCGCGACGCCTCAGCCGTACAACCGCGAGATGGGCACGGTCACAGAACTGTTTGACACATCGCCCGGCGACCACACATCACCAACCAACTATCTAGCCCAAGAGCTCGAGTCGAATCCCCATGAGAGCATGATGAAGATTATCCATGACACAAATGCTAACAACTCATCTGGCATCGATCTCCCCCACGTCGTCAACAATACCCCTGCCACAATGAGCAACGACCAACGGAACAAGATGCTGAACGCCATGGCCGGTCGATCGTCCGCAACACCCTCAACCAACGCTCCCCAGTCCTCCAAGCCCTCAATGTCAGCCTCACCCAATCCCCCAGCTCCCTCCGTCACCGCCACGCCCGATACACCGCCGCCCATGCCCGCCGCACCCGGCCTCTCCCTCTCGCCCATCATGGGCTCCGCCGCGCCGCCACCTTCACTACAGCAAATCAACTTCAACCAAGAGGATCTCGCCGCGCTACACCGCATGCAGGAGGAGCAAGCCGCGAAGCTGGACCACCTCTCCAGCATGCTCGGACCGCTCAGCCCTTCGGGTCGCATACCCGGCATCGACGAGAACGGCAACGTGAACGGCTACTTTGACGGCGACCTCGACATTGACCAGTTCCTGAACCCGGACGCGTTCCAGGGTGACAACGCGTACCCTGGCGTCAACTTCAACGGTGACGGAAACGACTTCAACTTTACCCTCGACGGTTCGGGTCCCAATAACGGAGGGGGCAACAGCAACGTCAATGGCACACCGAGCTCCACCGGGACTGAAGAGGTTCCGCGGGATAGCTTCGATGGGATCACTGACAGCCCCGACCGCGGTAACAAACGCAGACGTGTGGGTTGATGATGGATGCATGACTAAAAAGGGGATTCCCCTCTTTTCACGACTTTCTTTTTAGCAGCACCATAGGTGGTGCAACGGTCTTGATCATCAAATTATCCGAGGATGAGAAGAATGCTGCAGAGGGTGTCTCTCTGTTCTTCTTCTTCTCTATGGAAGGCGGCGGTTTTCTTCGAAATAACTTGTGCGTGGACAAAAAAGAGCATGATATCCAAAAATTGCTTATTGCTTTCTCTGTCTCTCCCTCTCTCTTTTCCTTCTCTCTTCCCCTATTTTGAATTGGGTTGGGAAATTAGGGACTGGGTGGGATGGGACGGGTGTGTGTTCTCTTGCTTCGGGGAAGGACTCGGGGGTTCCCCCCCCCCATGATTTGAGGTTGCAAAGGTGGCAAAGTCTTTTGATTTTAGGAATTTGAAAGCTACGATTGAGCAAAATTCCTAGGATGGATGGGATGAGATGGGATGGTTCTTCTTTTCTGTAAGGTAGAATAGAAACTTCGCCGCTTACGGGTGTGGTGGTGATCTCAATGCTACTCTTGATGAACAAGTAAATAATTACCTTGACGTATGACGGTGGCAAGGTTGAAGTTGATTTACAGATGTTGTGGTGAGGGTTGGCTCTTTACCACCGTAGGGGGCAAGGGAAGCGGTTCTCGTGATGTACTTTCAACTTGCAAAAGGTAGGCGACACCTTGGGGCTCTTGGTCGCATTCACCCTCGAAGGGTCTACCGCGTTCATACTAAATACACATCTTACTTAAACATCCGATCCACATCCAGTATCAATCTTGGCGTTGCGGGCAAAGTGGTAGTTAAGAAATCTACCATGTGGTTGTTTTTGTCTGCTCCGATTGTCTCGACCCATTCCTTGGTACATAATGATGATCATATAACACACGGCTTTTTTGATGCTTAGAAGAAGCTTGGCTAGTCCCTTTCAATCGGGCTTCGGTGCCGATCACGTATTGTCACAAGAATACCTGCGAGCGACCAAGCAGTGTCAAGAGAAGCCTGTGATTAACATTTCCTATCAGCAGGTAGCAGAACGCGTTGCCGCATCGCCAACGCGGAGACTGTCGTCAAGCAAGTTGGATCCTACTGAGACCGAGGAACCGTTACGGCGCAGTCGTTGCGGGAGGGATTATCATCTTTGGTCTCGTCTTGGGTGCTTTAATAGCAGTCCCCGTCAGTTTGGTTTACACCACCTCCCCCCCCTTTTTTTCGGTTTTTTTACATCCTGCAGTTGTGACCATCACAAAGTGAACACACCCATCACACGTTATAGCGATCTTTCACAGAAAAGCATTCGAGGTCCGAAAAGGAAGCAGGTGTAAGCCAGTTCAAGACGAAATGAACAACTGACGCCTAATCCACGCTTTATGTGCTCCAAATAGATACATACATCAGCAAACCCAAGCAAACACCCTTATGCCTATTTGACCAGTAGCTCACATTCCTTTTCTTGCGTAAATGCTCTGTTTTCTAAGCTTGGCTCCCCTCTGCAATAGCTGTCAGTCAAAAGCGTTCATAGTACACATGACAGGGAAGGTGTTGTAGGGAAAAGGGTTTCATCCTTACCATGTACAAAATATACGGCAAAGGCACAAACGCAACAGCGAAAATGGCCAGAATCATACTCGACCCGAGCACGTCGAACCGGTAATACATGGGCGGGATGAACAGCGGGAACGTAGCCCCGCACATGGCATTGAACAGCTCATTCCCAGCCAAGACGGAACTGACGTGATCCGGGTACGACTCGGTAAGGTAATTCAGAATCGAGATGTAGAGCAGCAACCCACCCGCCGTGAAAAGCGACGACCCGACAATGGGGACGAGATAACTTATCTCGGGCCGCGCCGTCCACCCAAACCAGACCAAGCTGGCCGGGATGAAGAGGCAGCCGACCATGGCCGGATGGAGGTGCTTCTCCGGCTCGATGTTGCCGTCGCGATCAAACTGCGGCTCGATGCGTTTGCGGTAGTACAGGAAGAACGGCGGGATGGTGAGCAGGACGCCGACGATGAGACCTAGCAGCGCGATGCCCTGTTTGCCGGTGCCAAAATGATATACTTCCCCGTAGGCTGACGGCAGGGCCTCGAACCAGATGTACATCAGCCCGTAGGCGAAGGCACTATACAGGTTCAGAAAGTAGACGGCCGGCTCGGTGAGGACCAAGGTGAAGGGCCGGACAAGGTGTGCTTTGAAGACTTCCGTGCCGGCGGTGTAATCCGCGCGCAGCTGCGCCTCGCAGACGAAACCCGGGTCGCCCGTCACTTTCCGCAAACGCATGGCCCGTCGATACAAGATGTTATCGGCGCTCGTCTCTGGCAAGAAGAAGATGAGCACGACGAGAATCCAGGCGGCTAACCAAGACACGATCCAAGCGGACCAGGTCCAGCCCTTAAGCTCGACGGCGAAGCCGCCGACGATGGGCCCGAGAGTGGGACCGGAGATTCCGATGAGACAAAAAGAAGCCATGGCGTAGGTGTGTTTGCGGGAGACGAACATGTCGTCCAGGATGCCGGCGGCGGAGCCGAGGACGGGGGAGCCGAAGAAGCCCGCGAGGAAGCGGAAGCCGAGGAGCATGCCGATGGAGGTGGCGAGGGCGATGGGGATCTGGGCGAGGCCGAAAATTGTGAGGGCGGGTATGTAGATTTGGTTGCGGCCGATCTGGGGAATCTCGGAGAGGGGGCTCCAGACCATCTTTGCGTTCTTGTCAGTATAGGTAAGGTAGATGAGAATAAGGGGTAATCGAGTGTAGACTCACTGGCCCGAGCCCATAGCCTAGGACAAAGACTGTAAGTCCTAGGAGGGCGACGACCTCCGAGACGCCGAATTGCTGGCGGACGCCGTGGGTGCTGACGGTGTAGATTGATGCGCCTGCGTAGACGGCGATGACGAGGAGGCAGATGTGGAAGCTGACGATGGCTTTCTTCATGACGGACCAGTTTCTCGGGTTCTGTGGTATTGGACCCTTAGCTACGATGTCCAAAAGGTGAGAGTGAAAAAAGGGGGTTGCGATCTTTGTTACCTCTGGGTCGTTTGGTAAGAACTCGACGAGATGGAGACCTCTTCTATTCTCGATGCCATACTTTTCCCACGTCGTACGGCTGATTGTCTGATTGCCCGGGATCTCGCTATCTGACTTCTCAGAGTCTAGTGAAAATGCTCGAACTTCGGTGTGTCTCGAAGCATATGAGAGTCTTCAGTTCGAGATAGACCGCGTGTTAGTATACCGCCTTTGCTCTTACATGTGAACTTGTAACTCACCCCGAGCCTGACCGATCATAGCCATTTTCCGTGTATCTCTGACGGATCAAGGGATGTCTCTCGTCAAAGTATTGGAACGCCGGATGCCTGGCCCTGGTGACGGCTCGTATGACGTGCCATGCCCAGGTGTCTCGAACGATCTCGTTGAAGGTCATGTTGTAGAGTTCGGATCCAGGGTTCGATTGGTGTGAACCTGGAACAAGACTTGTTTGCTAGGAATTCAACGACAGGTCGATCCTCTATATGAAAACAATGAGAGTGAACAGTAACGAATTCGAGTCGGTGGTCCGTCAAGTTTCAACTTTCTGAATTGTCGAGATGACCGTCATCGTCCTAAGCAACGAACAATGTAAGATTTCTTCTTTCTTGATAGTCCAAAGATTGTAGATGGCCGCGGGCTGCCGACACAAACGCATTGATTTTCGCCTCCTTGTCGAGAAGAAGTGAAGTTGTGGGAGCCGTTGGGAACTCGTTTCGCTGTCCTCCGGGGGGGGGGCACACGGTCCCCCCTCCTCTACTTGCCCGGATACGTTCAGCGTGAAACTCTGCAAACTGAGTTGCGCAAATGTGGTAAGTCGGAGAGGTGTGGCATGGCTGAGCGGTAGGGGCTGGACCCAAGGTAATGAACAATGCACTTCCTATAGCGGTCAATTGGTTCGAGCATCCTCCCAGACTTCCGGGCGGCGCGTTCCCGGTTCGAGTTCCCACTCATTTTTCGTCCCGTCCGGTCCCGCGGACTGGCCCACCTACCCGTATGGGGCCGTGTGCATCCCTCCCCCCAGCGACCATGGCCAGTACTTGGCCTGGGCCGGGATTGTTTCTATGCATTTGACGTCATTGAAACAAATTAATCTAATCATCGTACAGTTAGAGCGAGGAAAACATTGGCGGGGTGACTGTCGCTGAGCAGTGTATAGGTGTTCAACATATCAAGTAAGTAGGTATGCCAGAAGCTCTCGAAACTATCTAGCAATCATGTTGCTCACTGTCAAGCTGAACTCAACATTCTTGGATACATTTTGCCATTATCTCGGATGCTGTACTTGATTTCGTGTTCTCAAGGTTGGTACAAGACAGGAAAGTCTCGTCGAGGCAAACAACCTTGTATCAAGTGAAGTTGAAATCAAAACGTTCGCAACATAGTTATAAGTTGACTGTCACTCGTTAAGTGGGGGGCGGCTTTCATGCGCGCACCTACTGGTAAGTACCTTGGTCCGCGGCAGCAGCTTGAGTCGGCACCCGGAGCTCAATGCACCGATGCCGGGGGGCCCAATGAAGTGGTCCACCACATAACTTTAAACATGCAGTCGCATACATCCAGCATGTATCCAGCTGGGAGCTAGCTTTGCGCCGTCAACAACACCAGACGACCACACAACAATTCGAGTCCGCGATCGAGACCACCAGACAAATCTCCAACATGTCCGTCACATTACATACGAATCTCGGCGACCTGAAGATCGAAGTCTTCTGCGAGAGCGTACCAAAAACAGCAGAGGTAAAAAGGACCCCTTCCCAATCATCCCCAGACTTTCCCTTCGAATCCCACCCGCGGCCGTTCACCCACCACCCTCAATCGTATCGCGCGACACTCTACCCAACGGACGACTAACCAACACCCTCTCTCAGAACTTCCTCGCCCTCTGCGCATCACACTACTACGACGCCTCCCCCTTCCACCGCCTCATCCCAAAATTCATGGCCCAGACCGGCGGGCCGGCTCACCCGTCGCCCCCGGACAACCCAAAGGGCGGCCGCTCCATCTGGGGCGGCGTCTTCGAGGACGAGATCCGGCCGGCCCTCAAGCACGGCGCGCGCGGCGTCGTGTCCATGGCCAACAAGGGGCCCGGCACGAACGGCTCGCAGTTTTTTGTCCTGTTTGACAAGGCGCCGCACCTGGACGGGCTCAACACCGTCTTTGGGCGGATCATCGGGGACGATAGCACCGTCACGCTGGGCAAGATTGAGGCGGTCGAGGTGGATCGGAAGAATCGGCCCAAGGAGCCGGTCGTGATTGAGAGGGTTACTGTCCATGCGAATCCGCTTGCTGGGTGAGAATGGGGATGATCCGTTGGAGGTCGTGAGGGACTATGAGGAAGGGAGGTTTCGTGGATGGCTCCGTGGGTGGGAGAAAGGATGGATGTGAGGGAAGAATTCCCTGAAAAGCTATGATACCCGTACGTCAAAACGGCCCAAGACTGTCCTGACGGCACACAATGTTTAAATGAAAAGAAAGGCTTGCTTCTTCTAACCCTTGCCCAGCCGGCTGAGTGTAACTGTTATATCCTACCAAGCAATGGTGTGGTGTTTCAAGCCATGTTCAAGCCGTGGGAGGCGTGAGGATGCGGAGAGACTAGACCGTGGCGTTGGTACTTGCGAGTCTCCTGTATTCGTCCGTTCCGCTCTGATCACGATGCCTCTAAGAGGTTCCCCCAGAGTCTCTATAATCTCATTCTCCAAGAGGAGACTTTCGTCAATGATGTTAGAACTTCGCGCCCAAAGCGGTTGGTCTCCATGGCAAGGAAAGCGAGGCTTTCTCTAGAAACTTTGTAACTTCGTGCCCCATCTGATTCCAGGTAACAAGGAAAGACATCGGAACACAGCTTCTAGGGAGAAAAAGGGCCCCCATGAAAGCGCGAGAAGACGCGCTGGGTGCGAAAGCAATGTGTCTTCAAATCATAATGAATACAAACCGTTTTCAGCTTTCTGGCAGATCGGACCAGCCATACAAAACTCTCCGTTCAACTTAGCTTAAACGTAATATAGGTTCCCTACCTATCTATCTCATCACATCAAGCACCAATCCACACAACATCAGCAGAAAAGACATTAGTATTTAGGCAAAAATATGAAGAATGAAGTTTCATAATTCGCCTTCGCTCTAAGCTACCATGGCAAAAATCTGCGAGGCACACCTACACAGCCAATTCAGGGCTAGGTATACAACTCGAACCCCCCATAATGCAAAAAAAAGATATGGAAAACAAGGTAACAACAGAACTACCCAAACCCCGCCTATGCGAAGATACGGCCAGAGTGAGTGATGAGATCGCCAAAAAAGGGGGACACCAAAGGGTAATGATGAGAAGAAACAAAAGTGTGTTTGACATATCCTCCATACGGGGTCATTGACACCATAACACATGTGTATGACCATTCATTTATAACAAAAAACCCAACTGCCCACTGCTTCTTCATCTTCATGGCGCCGGCGGCGCAGCAGCAGCAGCAGCCTTCTCCGCCTCAGCCGCCTCAGCCTCCGCTCCCGCCTCTCCTTCCTCTTCCTCTTCTTCTTCCTCTTCTTCGACTTCTTCGTATTCAACCTCCTCTTCCTCCTCCCCCTCGCCCTCCTCCGCAACGATGCCATTCTGCCTCTCCCAGACCTGCCTCCGAATCATGTCGTCCTTGGCCTTCCTCGCCCGCTCCACCTCCTCAAAGCCGCCGGACTTCTTTAGCTTCCCCTCCTCGACAAAGTTGGACAGCTCCCTCTGCAGCTCGTTCCCCTTGCGGCCCTCGAGCTCCTTCTGCCTCAGCTTCTCCGCGCGTTCGATGGCTTCGAGACGGTTCTCGTGATTCGGCTGGAGCGCCCTCACCTCGCCGAGGACACCATCCTTGGCCGCGTTCGGGTCGAGACTGTTGCCGATGCCGTTCAGGCCCTTGGAGAAGTTGCGGGCGCTGCCGGCGCTGGCGCCCGTCCCGTTATCTTTTAGCTGCTCCTTGGTAGCCTGCTCGACGAGCGCAAAGGTCTCGGACGCCTTCTCCAGGTCATCCTGCAAATCGATCATGAGATCCTCCATAAGGCGCAGCTCATCACGGCCCTTGCACACGTCCTCAAGCTCCTTCTCCCAGATCTTGGTCCATATAGGCTTCTCTTCCTTCATGTAGTCCTCCACCTTCTTGAGCTCCTTGGAAAGCTTCGTGATATCCATGGCGACAGTCTCTAGTTGCCTAGGCAGAGGCCGCACACCACGGAGAACCACATCTTTGCGGAGGTCCTCAACCAGATCTTGCAGGTCGTCGACCTTTGTGACGAGCCGATCGGAATCTGTATTGAGCTGCTCGCGACCCTTGGTGACGTACGCATGACCGGTTTCGCCATCAATGGTCGGTATCGAGGCCTTGACCACCGCCGCCTTGACATTGCTTGCCTTGCTGCGGATGGCTGACATTGAGCCTTGGATCTCCGACTGGAAGCTGGAGTAGGCCTGGCGCATGACAGCAAGGTCACGGCGCAGAGTCTGGATCTCGGTGATGTGTCCAGAAGCGAGCTTACGGCCGCCAGCAAGGCTTACTGACTTGGATCCATCAGCAGGCGCAGACACCGCCGGAGGAGCGGCAGCAAGCCGGGCCATCTCCGCAACCGCCTCTTGCTGACGTTCCGAAACTCGCTGGAGGGCCAGACCTTGGTCGTCTTGGTTCTGCTTCACATCCTGTACTATCTTCTTCAGTTGTCCAATGCCCTCATCGATATGGCGCTTTACTTCATCGAGTGGCTCGACATTCAAAACCAACACTGTTCGATCCTTGATATCTGACAGATCTTCGAGCTCGTGCCTAACCCCTGATACGGGGTCTTGAATGTATATCTCTGGAAGATCAGCACCATTGGAGTGTGTGTTCCAAGAGAACTTTTCGATAAACGCCAGTTGAAGGCGTCCAATCGAGAGCTCGCTGTACCCCTCAGGTAGCACAAACTTCTTGACTTTGGACTTGTATTGCAGGAACAAAGTGAGTTCTGTGGTCAAGGGCGGAGACTGCTCGTGAAGAAAACTGGCGTCGCGCTTCTTCTCCGGGGTCTTGATCCCTGATGAGACCTTGGGTTCATCTTTACGCGGTGGATCGGGCTTGCCATCATCGTCGTCGGGTGACATTATAGGGAGATCATCGCTCATAGGGCCTTTCAGTGTAGCGCTGGGTTTAGGGTACTTGTCTTCCGGCGTTTGTATCGTTGGGCTTTCGGGCCTGCCTGCCGACAGCTCCGCTGCGGCCTCGGCACGACTCGGTGCAGGAGAGGTATCTAGTTGCGGTTGTTTCGAGGCCCGGTTTTGGCGGAGCGTCTCTCGGGTCTGAACAGCACGCAGAGACTCCCGGACTTCGCCCCGGCCACGGTTCGGTATCGGGGAGTTTTGTGATGGCAGCATGGGCACGCCATTCA